AGTGACCACCGATGAAGGTGCGGCCAGGGGAGGCAGGAATGGAAAGAACTCAAAAAAGAACAGGCTGGGTCAGCTTTTGCTCATCCTCTGGTTCTCAGCATCAAGATCTCACCCCTCCGCTAAGTCCACCCTGGACCTCCACGGTCTGGGTCAGGTTCTCCTCTTTGTGTTGCCACATCACCCAGCATGTCCCTTCTGCCGTGCTGACCATTACACCTCCGGCGTCCGGTGCGGGGCCTGACTGGCAGGTGCATCCGGAGATACATCTGTAGAGTGAACTGTACTTCTCACGGCGACAATTCGTGTCCTTACGCAACTGGCCTGTCACCTCCTCCATGCCATCCTAAGAGAATGGAGAGCCTGTCATCCGCCTCTTAGTAACCCTGGCAACTGGCACACTCCTCTACTGGGACAACCTTCTCTTACAAGCCGCCGCTGGGTGGTCAGACAAACACTTACACCTGCCACGTTCTGAGTTCTCTCCCTTTCCACGTGTTTTGCTTCTTTCTCCCTAACCCTAGAAACTAACCTAAATTTCTTTTTTATGTTATTGCCTGATAAGTATTGGAATATTTACATTTTAAAGCAAATTTTGGAAACAGGTGAAATTTCTACAAATAACTCCTTTTTTTTTCCCTTGAGTTTTAAACCTTCTTCCCAACAATGAACATGTATTTGCATGATTTTACGGATCTTGTTACCTGTACAGCGATGGCACGAGATGAACAAGGCTGGAACCGCGATCCCTCCAGGAGGGAGAGGTGGTGGAGAAAGGTTAATTCAGTGACTTGCCCAAGCTTCGGGTCTGTTAGGTAACATTTTTCACTAGACCCTGACTACCATATGAAGAACATCTGAAGACTGAAATGCCTTCTATTATACAGATTTTTTAAAAATTGCTGGTTAACTTTCTCTAGTCACCAAGTTAAAACTGGATCACACTGGATCACACTGGATCTGACTTTCAAGAAGATAAACTTCTCTTGACATTTACCTTCATTACGTGACTTGTGGATTTGACTTCTTAGGTGAGGTGACTTGCCCTTCAATGTGAGTTCCTGACATGTGACATGAATTCTACGCTCTGTTCTCTGCCAGAGAATCAAAAGGGAGCTCTAAGCCCAACCCCCTCTTGACAAGTCATTCAGAACCGTGACATTTTTGCCAGAAATGTCCAAACCAGTTAGTTGACCTTATTTATCTTCTCTAATTTATAAGCAAATGTAAAGACAGCAAGTGTCATCTTTAAAAAGCTATTTAGAGGGGTATGTGTCATGGTGTGTATCTACAAACTGATTTAGACACAACATACTTTCCATTTATGTGCTTTTTTTTTTCCGCCCCTAGTCAGAAAAAAAAGCAATTGGAATTTACAGGAAATAGACTTAAAAATAAGGGACTTCTGTGAACATCAGAGCCATCCCCACCATCCCTTTAGATCAGGTGGCACAGAGTCATCATCCAGCCTGGACATTATTGAGAGTGGGACGCCATCAGTAATTCTGGTGTAAAGCAGGACTGTCCTGGGCAAACGGGACAAATGGCCACTCCACCGCTAGCCCACTTTACAACTGTGTCACATGGCAGAGGACATTCCCCACACTGCTTGACACACGAGACTGGCACCTTTCTCCTCTCTCTTTCACGGTCTCAGTTTAACCCTGGGATCAGGGGCCCTGAGTGGCAGGATCGGTTTAGCGTCTGACTCTGGTTTTGGCTCAGGTTGTGATCTCAGGGTTGTGGGATCGAGCCCCGCGTCAGGCTCCATGCTCAGCGCAGAGTTTGCTGTTGATTCTCTGTCTCCCTCTCCCTCTGCCCCTCCTCTCTTTCTCTCTTTCTCAAATAAATAAATAAACCTTTAATCCCTGGATCAAGCTGAACCACTAGAGATAGTCCTTAGGCCAATATGTCTGACCATGAGCTTCTTCCTCCCCACTTGCTTCAAGGAGATTCACTCTAAGCGGTTCTCACAGCAGAAGCCGTTCTTTGGGATTTTCCCCTGGCTTGTGCTGAGAGATGCCTTAGAAAATGATTTGCTTCCTCCACGGAAGTCACAGAGAACATTCTTCTAAAATCATCACCAAGTGTCCCATCTTATTTTTTAAAGAATGGAGAGGCAGAAGTTCGGTCTCCCTAGAGTGGGGTTTTCTTCTGGTGGACAAAGAGACTTTCGGAGACAGTTATGTGTAGTTGCTAAGGACTCAGGGCAGGGAGTCCAATGGAGGAGGCCAAATTTTGGTTCTCCCACTTCTTTGTAATACACACAATGCTTACCCTTACGATGGAGCTGTAATTTCACCAGGAATGCAGAATGAAATCCACAGTTCAACCATATTAACGAGGTGAACTGGAGAAGCTTTCCTGGTTCTTACCATTTATCGCATATTCTATTTTCTATAACCCTGACTTTCTTTACACGTCTCTCTGCTTTGCTAAAATAGAGTCTTACGGGGCGCCTGGGTGGCTCAGTTGGTTGAGCAACTGCCTTCGGCTCGGGGTGTGGTCCTGGGGTCCCGGGATCGAGTCCCACATCGGGCTCCCTGCTCGGCAGGGAGTCTGCTTCTCCCTCTGACCCTTTTCCCTCTCGTGCTCTCTGTCTCTCATTCTCTCTCTCTCAAATAAATAAATTAAAAAAAAAATCTTAAAAAAAATAAAACAAAATACAGTCTTACGATACCTCTAATCCTCTCTGGAATAAAGACTAAATTAAACAAGCAAAAAAGCACTATTTCTGGGTCAGCTCCACAAAGCTTTCAGCGCCCACCCACCCTGCCACGTTTTTCTGGAAGAAACGACGAAAAGTTCAGAGAATGGCAGCCACACGTGTGCACAGCTGTACCGATTTCCCAGGTTCTCAAAAAAACCCAAAAAACCAGAACAACTAGTCCAGGCATATGTTTCTTTCCTTAAGTATATTTCTTTAACTCCTTAGAATATAATTTTATTTACTTCGGTAAAAATTTTCAAAATAATTAATCACCTAAAAAAATAAATGCTCTCTCTCTCTCTATATATATATATAACCCCCCCCCCAAATGCTCATAGTATTTCATTAGAATGGAGAGGTGCCAAGCTAGGTACAAGACAGAAACAGCTATCATAAGCAAAGACGTCCAAGGACTTCCTTCCCAGACCTGTCAATAATGTCGGGAACTTACACTTCACACGCCAAACTGCAAAGTCTATGAAGTGGGATAGATTCAATAAGGCAGATCAGCCTAAGTTAAATGGGGCAGTAAATGCCAAATCGAGAATTTTAAAATAAACTGGCTGGGCTTTGCACTTAAATGCCCAATAGCCATTGTGAACGTCAGAACCACCAAAGCTGAGAAATTAATGCTAATGGGTGGTCTATAAGACTTTCTACTATACCCCCCCATGGCCACCCAGTTATAAAATATCTGTGTAGTATTTAATCATTTACCAGGTTATAATAAACCCTAAGTGGCGAGATATAAAGTCTTCAGTTTTAAAACTATGATTCTTAGGGCAAGATTTCTTCTGCCCCAGACTCAAGGAACAGCTCCTTGCATCTGTTTAATAAAATACATCCCAGCTCTTCACGTAATTTGGAGTCCTTTTTTCAGCCCTAACATTTGCCCTTTTAGAGGCTACTTTAGGTAGCAATTAAGGTTTATTAGCATAGATGAGATTCTGCCCAGGTCATCTTGCAAACAAAAGATTAAAGTACCGGTTTAACAAGACTAATGATTGTGCGGCAGCCTCTTTCCTGTAAAGGATGGGCATTGCCCGATGCCAACCACAAGGTCATGTGCGCCTCTCCCTGGATGCACTGGTTGGCTTGGCGTTCCTGGGTGCAGAAGGTGACCACACTGGGCAGAGTAAGATGAGATAGGAGGACTATGGCAGGCCTTTATCTGATCATTAGATACCTAAGGGCTACTTGCTGGTCGGTTTTCGGGGTTGGAGGGGGTGTGATTTCCCTGTAGGAAGGCGTAAGGACTTCCCAGTGATCTCACGAGAGGCATGGGCAGCTTCTAGCTTTTGAGTTGAGTGACGGAGTTTGTATTTGCTCTTCTAGAACAACTCCACCCAGATAAAAGTACTCTGACACTTTAAATAAAAACACAGCAGACGGTTTATTTGTATCTCAAAAAAGGAAATCGAGTATCAGTGGATATGGGATATCTGTTCTTATATGTTTTCATTACTCTTTGCAATATAATGGTATTTTAAAGAACTGAACGGCTCCAAACAGCTAATATTAAAAATCATTTTTACATAGACTTCTGACTGTACCTGCATTTGTTCCCTTTATGGTTTTACTGAATATGTGTGATTACTTGATCCAAAGTTACCCCAATACATTTTAAGCTCCATCAGGGCACTGCCTGGAAATAGGAGAGGATTCACTGATTTAGAATTGTCAGTAAAACCATTTGGTTCTTTTTATTCTTCTTGGCTTATGATATCCACTGGATTTGAAAAAAAAATTTTTTTAAAATGCCAGTTTCAAGGTCTCCAGGAAGTAAAATGTTTAATTATTAACCATTAGTGATATTAAAATATTTATATGCCTTTTAGTTCTACTTAATTGAATTTGGTAGAAAGGAGAGTAATGGGCGTAGTGCTTTACTCGGCAGATAACAGCATTATCAGTTTGTCTGAAAAACTAAGGCTTCAGACAGATCTTTCTTTGGAGACCCTATATGGATTTGTCTGAAATCATTTGTGTTAATGGAATGTTTTCATCCTCAGCCACTACCAGCAAAACAAGTCTGTGTTTCAAAATGGAATTTCATAAAGAAATCCATTGCATGAGTTACTCCAACAGAACAGCAAATCTTAGATCCGTTTTAAGTGCTCCGTAGTACATTTTGGGGAGAGTTTAAAAGTACCGTGCATCCAAATCAACGTGTCCCTTTGGGAGGGTGTTATTTTCACCTCACAACTCAAGGCAAAAGGCTGGGACATGATTCAGGATAAACAAGCAAAGGAATGTTCTAGAAGGTGAAAGAGACTTCTATTCATGATTTTACCTGATTTGTCCACGAACAAGAGGTCTGTTCTTTGTCCTATTCATGTTTGAATCAAATGGCACCTCAAAAAACTGCAAAAAGATTGAAAAAAAGAAGACGTTAATATAACATGAAACAATCTTTTCTGCTTCAGTTCTATACTTTTGTCCACAGTAAATGTCATTTTAATTTTGATTGTACGAACTCATACTCTTGTCACTCAACAGAGGAAAATTCTCTGGGAGAGACATATTTAAAAATTATATGCAAAAGGGGCGCCTGAGTGGCTCAGTCAGTTAAGCATCTCATCTGCCTTCGGCTCAGGTCATGATCCCAGGGTCCTGGGATTGGGCTCCCTGCTCAGTGGGGAGTCTGCGTCTCCCTCTGCCCCTCGCCCCACTCGTGCTCTGTCTCTCAAATAAATAAATAAATAAAATCTTTAAAAAAATTATAAGCATTAATTGTCTAGAATATGCGCGGTTCCACTTTGATCCACTCTGAACACCACGGTTAAACACACAGTTGCTTCCTTCAGAGGAAGTTAATTGTTGCGGGTGTAAAGCTTTCATGCTCTAGACGATTTCAGAACCTTGCACACACCCCCAAGCCTGTGAATCAACCAGGGGAAATTGGCCACTAAAGTCAAGAACCAGGGCTGAGGGATTAGGACCCACGATGAAACTACAGCGCCAACAAGGGAACAACCATGACTAGTGTAACCACCTCTCTCTGCCTGGGGCAGCTCCCCCTTTACCCCTGTGATCCCAGCATCATTAACAGCAACCCTTCTCGCTCTCAAAAGGATCCCAATCTGGACGACACACTGGTATGGTCACCCTAACAATGAGGTACTGGATCTGCTCTCCAGAAATTCATACTCTAGGGGCGCCTGGGTGGCTCAGTCATTAAGTGTCTGCCTTCGGCTCGAGTCATGGTCCCAGGGTCCTGGGATTGAGCCCCGCATCGGACTCCCTTGCTCAGTGGGAAGCCTGCTTCTCCCTCTCCCACTCCCCCTGCTTGTGTTCCCTCTCTTGCTGTGTCTCTCTCTCTCCATCAAAATAAATAAATAAAATCTTAAAAAAAAAAAATTCATACTCTAATGTAGGGGTTGGCAAGCTCATGTCCCACCTGCACCTGCTCCTGGTACGGCTCACAAGACAATACGTTTTTGTTTTTTTTTTTACATTTTTTTTAATGACTGGAAAAATAAATCCAAAGGAGAAGAATATTCTGTGACATGTGAAAATTATCCGAGAGTCAGATTTCAGTGTCCATTAGCAGAGTTGTGTTGGAACTCACTCACACTCGCTGTCTACATCGTGCTATGGTTGGCCCTCACACCCGAGGCTGGGTTGGGTAGTTGCAACAGAGACAGTGTGGCCCACAAAACCTAAAATATTTACTCTCTGGCCCTTAACTGAAAAGGGTTTGCTAACCTTTAATCTAACGGAAAGACCAGGATACAGATGATTATAATAATGTGCACAGCACAGTGAAAAGGAGATGTGCTAAAATGGGCTCTGAAGTAGCCGGGAGGCAGGCAGGGCAAACATCCTTCCAGCACTCCTGAACAGACTTCAAGACTCTGCAGGAGTCAGATGCTTTAAGGAGACTGGAGGGCAGAAAAGCGCAGTCTAGACGCAAGGGGAAACATACAGAAAGAAAGGCACGGGAGGCAGAAACTTCATGATACGCTCGAGTAGCTAGAAAGAGTTCAGGATAGCACAGAGGTTAAAGTTCCACCCAAGGTTGGGTGCCTGGGTGGCTCAGCTGGTTAAGCAACTGCCTTTGGCTCAGGTCATGATCCTGGAGTCCCGGGATCGAGTCCCACATCGGACTCCCTGCTCAGCAGGGAGTCTGCTTCTCCCTCTGACTCTCTTCCCTCTCGTGCTCTCTATCTCTCATTCTCTCTCTCTCAAATAAATAAATAAAATCTTTAAAAAAAAAAAAGGTCCACCCAGGCTTTGCAGTGAGAGATGAGGGTTACATTTCAGCTTTACCAACAACTAGTGGCTATGTGACACTGTCTGAAAAGCCCATTTCCTCATCTGTAAAATGAGGGTTAATAACATGCAACTTGCAAGGTTAATGTGAGGATCAATAAGATACTGATATACAGCATTACGCTTGGCATGGACGAAGTGCTTAATAATGACACATTTAACTACCATTACCATCGGTGTCGCTGGATGGCTGGAAAGGAAGCTCCAGAGGTAGGTGAAGAGCCAGATCGTGGAGAGCTTCACATGCCACGCTAACATGTAGGAGATGCATTTTGGGCAGATCACTGTGACTGCCACTTGGAGGATGGTTTTGGCTGTTAATGGCCCGGGTGACAGATGGTGAAGGCCTAACAAGGCTGTGGCAATGGAGATGGAGAGAAATCAACATCCTGCTTTACCCTCTAGCCCAACAGCCTTTTATTTTTATTTTCTAATTTTTTTTAAAGATCTTATCTATTTATTTGAGACAGAGAGAGCACAAGTGGGAGGCAGAGGCAAAAGGAGATGGAGAGGGAGAAGCAGGCTCCCCACTGAGCAGAGAGCCCCACATGGGGCTCGATCCCAGGACCCCGAGATCATGACCGGAGCGGAAGGCAGAGGCTTAACCGACTGAACCACACAGGCGGCCCCCCAACAGCCTTTTAAAGTGTACACAGTTCCACCAAGGGGACCTGCCACTTTACATTGCTACTAGCAGTATCTAGGAGCTCCACGTCCAGACCCTTCTGGAACTCAGTTTTGGGTCATCTCCGGTGCCAAGAACTACAATCGTCTCAGGTGCTTGCCAAAGCCATGACTAGTGTAACCACCTCTCTCTGCCTGGGGCAGCTCCCCCTTTACCCCTGTGATCCCAGCATCATTAACAGCAACCCTTCTCGCTCTCAA